TGTCTGGTAATGGCCTTTCAGTCTTCTCACCCCTAGATCACACAGCCTTTGAGCAACAGTTTTTCTGCTTATGCAATTTGAAGACTGGGGAGGGAGGAAATGGCTCCATCTACTGGCCATATCTGGTATCACAGCAGGGAAGGCAATGGAATTTTTCCCAGGAAAGGACTCTGGTGGGTAGACCTTCAGTGGACTTCACACCTTAAGGGCAGCTGGAAAATGTTAGGAGGGACAGCACATGACTAGACAAAGTTGTTACCAATTCTGTCCAGTGTGACAAGGTTGGGGTTATAGTCTAGAGTTGTATTTAGCAGTTTGAAATGTTTTCCTTTGTATTATTTTTTCAAATTGTGAAACATACATTTATATCATATTTGGTATATAGAAGTGTTATATCTAGTATACAACATATAAGTAAAGTGTGAAGAATAATCTTAAAAGAAACATTCATTGGCACATATTAAAAAAACTATCAACAACAAGTGTTGGCGAGGATGTAGAGAAAAAGAAACTCTCCTGCACTGCTGGTGGGAGTGCAAACTGGTCCAACCACTATGGAAAGCTGTGTGGAGATTCTTCAACCTGCTAAAGATGGAGCTTCCATATGACCCAGCAATTCCACCCCTAGGTATTTACCCAAAGGACACAGAATCATTAATTCAAAAGGGCACCTGCACCCCTATGTTTATAGCAGCACTATTTACAATACCTAAGCTATGAAAACAACCCAAATGCCCAAATATAGATGACTGGATCAAGAAGATGTGGTGTATATACACAATGGAATACTACTCAGCAATCAAAAAAAGATACTCATGCAATTTGCAGCAACATGGATGGAGCTAGAAGGGATCATGCTCAGCGAAATAAGCCAGAAAGAAAAAGAAAAATACTGGATGGTCTCACTCATAGCAGCAATTTAGAAAACCTAAATAAGGGGCTAGGAAAAAGACTAATTATAATAAAGTAAAAATCAAAATCAACAAGCAACTATAAGCCATAGACACACTACAGGAGGGAGGGTAGGAGGGATTATGGTCAAAATAAGGGGGGTGGGAATTGTATGGGGACTATAACCAAGATGAAAAAAGCATACATTGTGCAAAAATGAAGTAAAAAATGTGTAAAATAAAATAAAAAAAGAAACATTCATAATCACCCACTCAGATTAAGAAATGAAAAATTGCCAGTTCTTTAGAGGCCCCACTGATAGTTACACCAGCAGTCAGGTCTAGTTCCATCCTCCTTTTCTCCTTTCCCTTTGCTTTTTCTCCTTTCCATTCCTTCTTTTGTGAATTATTTCTTCTATTCTGCTCCTTTTACGGAATTCCTTCTTTTTTTCTCTGTTGGCACTGTGAAACTAGAGCAAGACACTGAATTCTGATGAATCAGTATCCTTATAAGAACAACTGTACCTGTCATATTGGCTTATGAGATTTAATGAGATAATGTTTATGTTGGGGTTAAATGAGCTAATCTATGTAAAACAATAGAACAGACCTTGGCATATAGGAAATGTTTTTATTTTTACGATTATTTAAAAATCACTTCTTTTCTGATAGAAGAATTTTATGACATAATGAGAATAGACAAGAAGTATGGTTCCTTTATATACCAGCAGTGTTGCTTTATTCAAATCACTGAACACCTCTAAAATGAGGTGATGATACTGAGGTCAGTAATTTGCCCCACAGGGCTGGTGTGAGGATCAGAAGAAATGATACATAATGTATCCAGTAATTAGTTTAAATAAATGTTAAAATCTTTCCCTCCCTCTCTCCTTTTCTTCCTCTTTCTCTGACAGAATACATTTTCTTCCCATCATGGATTCTAATCCAAGATTTTATGTTTATAAAACATATTTCCCCTCCAAATCTTTGAATAAAATTGATACTTCAGAATGAAAAAAAAACCACCTTTATTTCAAGCAACCTATTCTGAGAAAATAATATTAAATATTAAAGAAAAATTCTACACAGAAATATGCTCAATATTTCATAATTTAAAGTAATAAGAAAACAAATTATAGCAATGTGACAAGACAATTAAAACCTAAAAGATACTATTTGTATTCAATTGAATATTATATAGCTTTAAAAATTATGGCTATGATACAAGTCCACATAGGAGACTGGTTATGTGTATTTATGGTACATCTGTATGAGTTGCCATGTGATCTTTAAGGATCTCAATATAAAAGGATTATTATTTCCTGTAATTTATTAATACAGGAAAATATTCATAGTGAATTACCAAGTGACAGATGTGGGCAATAAAATAGTATAAAGTTATGTACACAGTGAATGAAAAAAATACAGAAACCAGTGATTTCCTGTAAGGTGGGAATTATATGCTAATGTTCTACTTGTTTATTTAAGAGACTTTATTTTCAGTTCAGTTTTAGGTTTACAGCAAAAGTGAGAAAGTTTTCCCACTTACTCCCTCCCCCACATTTGCACAGTCTCCCCATTATCAATATATGGCACCAGAGTGGTACTTTTGTTACAACTGATGAACCTATACTGACACATCGTTAGCACTCAAAGTCTGTAATTTACATTAGGATTCATTCTTGGTGTTGTAAAGTCTATTGGTTTGGATAAATAATGTCATATATCCCACTGGAGTATCATATAACATTGTTTCATTGTCCTAAAAAGGATTTATGCTCTACTCACTCATCCTCCCTTTCCTCTAGGCCTTGGCAATCATTGATCTTTTTGATTCTCCAAAGTTTCCATTTTTGGAATATCATATGGTTGGCATCATACAGCATGACATCTTTTCAGAGTGTTCTTTCCCTTAGTAAAATACAATGAAGTTTCCACCATGCTTTTTTTTTTTTTAAGATTTATTTATTTATGCATACAAGAGCTGGGGCACAGGCCAGAGATGCGGGGTGGGGAGAGGACCCACCAGAGACAGAGTGTGGAGCAGAACAGGCAGACTGACGGAAATACACTGCTGAGGGGAGCAGTGGGCATGACAGGAGAGGTCTGCTGCGCCATGTGGGTTGCTCCCTGGCCGGCCGGGGATCGAACTTGTGCTGCAGAGGCTGTGGATTGCTTCATAGTGCAATGCTTAACCCCTTGAGCCACCAGGGAGGCCCCCACCATGCTTTTTTATGGTTTGATGTCTCATTTATTTTTAGTGCTGAATAATATTCCATTATCTTGATGTAACAATTTATTTATCCTTTTATCTATTGAAGGATATCTTGGTTGCTTCCAAGTTTAGGCAATTATGAATAAAGCTGGTATAAACATGTGTATGTATATTTTTGTGTAGATATAAGTTTTCAGTTACTTTAGGTAAATACCAAGGGATGCAATTGCTTCATTGTTTGGTAAAAGGATGTTTAATTTTATAGAAATTGCCAAGCTGTTTTCCAAAGTGTTTGCTACCATTTTGCATTCCCACAGCAGTGAATGAGAGTTCCTGTTGTTCTGCATTTGGTGTTGTCAGTGTTCTGGATTTTGGCCAATCTCATAGGTGTGTAGTGCTATATTTATTTTTCTTTATGATTGCTGTATTCTTCAAGTCTTCTGCATCAATCACACATTATTTTTGTAATATATATGTGTTATAAAATAGAAAATTAGAAAGTTCATATAACAGCAGGATGTGTACAGGGAGGGAATGTTGGAGGAATATTGTGTAACATTACATTTTTTAAAATAATGCAAATTAATGATACTGTAAGAACGATCTTTTTTTTAATTGTAAGAAAATCTGTATGACAATGATATCAATTTAGCTCTCCATTCATTGGGATAAATGGCTACAACTAGAATGTGTTGTTTGTAGAGAAGTACTTGCCAAAAGCATTTTTAAATTATCTCTATTTTCTAGTTATTTAAAGACAAAACATGAAAATGATAAAATTATATACAAGTACAGTTTGATATATTAAAGGATAAAATGCAAAAATTCTAAACAACAGGTCATAAAAATATTATTTGACTATCTAGAGTACCGTAAATTACATTTCATTTTTTGTCAGAATTTACCCAATTTATAATCAGTGTAGAGAGCAGATACATATCATGCTTTTATTCTTCAATGATAAATTCAAAATAAAGTGCATATCACTTGGAAACATGGAAAGTAGAAGTTTGTCCTCATATGCTATATATTATTTATATTATGCTGTGATAAAATTGACTTTATAATGCAATCTTTAATATATACTAATCTAAGCATGCTTTACCTAAAATCACTACTATATAACACTCAAAGACAAAATGAGTCAGAGAATTCCCAAGGGAGTCGGTAAAATCACACATTACTCTGTAAAAAAAGGCTTTTGGGTTACAAATATGTAATGTTTAAGACAGCTGAGTTTTGGAGTAAGAGCTGGATTATAATCTGGTCTTCCTCCTTGGATATAATTTCTCCGAGCTTGTTTTCTTATCTGTAAAATTGGGGTGATGTGAACTATCATAGAGCTGTTTTAAGGGGTAAATCAAATTATACTTGCAAAAGTGCAGAACTTGTCATAGGGTAAGCCTTCAGCACATGTTAGCTACCTTTTCCCCTCCCTGAGATGAGAGGATAAAAAGACCTGGGGCTATACATCTTCCAAAAATTAAGGAAAAATCCAGCTTTATCAGGCAGTAGCACAGAATCTGCTAACCAATTACATTCTAGTTTTCATCCAGCCATATCACCCTAAAGTCCACAGCACTCTCCGGTCTGAGCCCTTTTATACCCCAACTCCCACCCACAACCTCCGGGTTCACCTTTCCCCCTCACACACTTCTTTTTGCAGCCGGAGAGAGTCAGGCTTTCCCCCCAACCCCTCTCGGGTTCTAACTTTGCCGCCCCAGCTGCTCTCGGCCAATCGGGGATATAATTATCTGTTTCTTTCCCGACATTTAGAGGCGCTTGCTGGAAATAAGATCTCTGATTGGTTTTTCTGGAGCAAGAGTTAACCAATCATAGGCAGGATTTTTAGGTGCCGCGGGACGGCTAGTATTATCGCTGCTGATTGGCTGGAGTGGCGGAGACAGGAAAATGGCTGCGAGCAGCTCTGTAGCTCCTGTGGCCGTGACGGCTGCTGTGGGGCAGGTCCTAGCAGCCAGCAGTGGTTTCTCAAACTTGCGGGAAATTAAAAAGCAGCTACTGCTTATCGCGGGCCTTACCCGGGAGCGGGGCCTACTGCACAGTAGCAAATGGTGAGATGTTGGCGTCTGAAAGGACCGGTCTTGGCTCCTTGGCCTTGGGGGGCTTGTGTTTTTTGATTCGGTTTGCGTCTTATTCCAGGTCCGCAGAGTTGGCCTTTTCCCTGCCTGCGTTGCCTCTCTCCGAGCTGCAGCCGCCACCGCCTATTACAGAGGTAAGGACTTCCCTGCCTGTGCTCCCCAGCCACCGGAGAGGTGCGGAGTGCCCTGTCACTTGAGGGGAGTGTTCTGTCTGGCAGGAACGTTTGTAGAGAGGCTGCACGCGTCTAAAGAGCTGGGTGTTTTAAGCCATTTTATTTGGGTGGATTTTGACTTTTGAAAGATTTGCTGGGGCTCTTAAACTGGAGAAAATTACTAAACCTTGTTTAAGGCTTCACCCTTTTAGGACAATATTCATAACGGTGAGAAAAACAAAAGGTTTTTATAACAGTGAGATACTAGCTTAGGATTCAGACAGTTCTGGGGTCAAATCTAAGACACACTAGTGAGTTTTGGCAATTTACTTACCCTCCTGAGCCAGCTTCCTCATCTGTGAAATACAGATAATAGTTTTTTCTTTATGGGGTTATTGAAATTATTAAATGCGAAATGAATATATTTTCTGTGTGTAGTCTGTGCTAACTATGTTTACATTGTCTGTGTAGTCTGAATGATTTTCATCATAATCCACTTTGTTTTTCCTGAGGTTGCCTTTTTTTGATTCCCCCCACCGCACAGACACCTAAAAACAATGAATATTTCATACTCTAAAAGATAAAATGCAAGTGAGGGGAGTAGGGAAAGAAATACGGAAAATGGTGTGTGGCTGTAAAGAAGGCGACCAGGATCCTAAGTTGAATGGCTGTGTTTAATACCTGTTGATTTTGTGGAGAAACACTGAATATGTTTTGTGTTGGTGATATTTAGGGAATATGAAATTATTATAGTTTAAATCAATGTATCCAAAGAATTTAGGGGAGGATTGTATCTTTTCACTTAAATGTACATCATTCATTTTTTCAACATAGAGAATTATAACTATTCTGTGCTTTCAGCAATACAATTATGTCACAAATTGCCTGAAGTACAAAAAGTGTAAGTAATTACACAATATATTGCATTTATGCAGTAATTTGAAAGCCAGGAGGAGGGAGTGTTAGATATTAATGCCAAACATTTTCATGACCTTTTTACATTTCTCTTCAAATCTGTATTATTACTCCTTGTTACAGATGAAGAAGTGAATAGTCAGAGAAGCTAAGTAACTTTCCTCCTAATATGAAACAAGGAAATGAATAAGTCATAGTTTGAACCCAGGTTCTTAAAACCAAAACCATGCCACTTCCTACTATATTTGCAGAAACAATACAAATTTCTGAATGTGTTGGTTTAGTTTTTTAAATTTTAATTTTTCCCCCTATTTTTTATTTTGAAAAAATTTCCTGACTTTCTAATAAAATAAATATGTATAATAATTTATATGGCTATACATGTATGTGTGTTTAGAAGAAGAGAAATAATTATTTTCTTAAATTTTGAAATTAATGATTATGCTTCTGGATTTGAACATTTTTGTCCTTTCCCAAGCTTTAACAGAAACTTTTCTCTAGGAGGATGCCCAAGATATGGATGCTTATACCCTGGCCAAGGCCTACTTTGATGTTAAAGAATATGATCGGGCAGCACATTTCCTACATGGCTGCAACAGCAAGAAAGCCTATTTCCTGTACATGTATTCTAGATATCTGGTAAGGCTATTTTAAGATGTCATTCTGCCTTTAGTGAAGCTGTGATATTTTGAACCAAGGGGAAAGGGTTAATTTTTTTCTCTTGTTTTCTTGAGCTGTAAATTGACATATAGCATTGTGTAAGTTTAGCATAATGATTTGACTTACATATATTGTAAAATGATTCCCATATATTGTAAAATGATGCCCACATTAAGTTTATTTAGCGACCAGCATCTCATATAAATACAAAATAAGAGAAAGAAAAAAAAGTTTTTTCCTTGTGATGAGAGCTTTTAGGATCTACTTGCTTAACAACATTGTCAACTGTAGTCATTAATATGTACAACCCAATGTTTATTAATCTTCTAACTGGAAGTTTGTACCTTTTGACCACTTTCATCCAATTAACCTCCTCTGACCCCACCCCTCACCCATCTTTGGTAACCACAAATCTGGTATCTTTTTCTGAGTTTAATTTTGTTTTTTCAGTGCCACATATGAGTGATATTATACAGTATTTTCTTTCTCTGACTTGTTTTACTCAGTGGAGTGCATTCAGGGTCCATCCATGTTGTTGCAAATATCAGGGTTTCCCCCCTTTTCTCTGGCTGAATAATATTCCATTGTATATATAGAGTATTGCTTAGTGATGTTTATATCAGTGACCAACTGCTTATATGATAGTGTTCCCAATAGGCTATACCATATAACTTAGGTGTATATAGGCTATACCATCTAGGTTTGTGTAACTACCTTCTATAATGTTCACCTTGAGAGTTTTTGAGTGACACTTGACTGTATACTACAGTGTTTATTCTTCCATTGATGGACACTTATGTTGTTTCCATTTCCTGGCTATGAATCTAGAGGTCAGATATAATATATTTTGACATAATATATTTTCATTTGCTTCCAAATGAAGGTATCCCCAGAAGCAAAATTGCTGCATCAGAAAAAGTTTAATCTTTTAGTTAACTTAAAATAGATTACTTGGTATTTATAAATACTTTAAAGTAATAGAGAAGATATTGCAATTAAACAAAAAATGATGGTATGGAAGAAAATATTAAAGCTATAGATAGATTTATTATTGACAAAGGTGTTGGGCACATCTTTGGAATACATATTCATACAGCTCTTTTGAAAGTCAATTTTGACAGGCTATGTCAATTTGAAATACTGTAACCAAATAATTCCCCTTTAAGAAATGTGTCAAATAGAAGACATACTTGAATATATATGCACAAGAATTATATATAGGGCTCTTCATTGAAGTATTTTTTTGTAATAGCCAAAAATATATTCACTTAAATATCCATTCATCAATAAATCCATCAGTGTCTGTCATTTTCTGTGAAGGTGAATACTCAGTTCACTTGAAAGGGTCAAGTATCTTGTTAAGTGCATCAGGAGACTTTGGGAGGATACTAAAAGTAGTAGATCACTGTGTAGCTGTGAGTGGTAAGGATGGGTACTAGATAAGTGGGGTCAAGGATGGAAGAATTTATATTTTGGATTTGAACCATATTTTACTGTCTTGTCTAACACAGTATGAAAGTTAAAAAAAAAAGGCATATCTATATATCTTGAGATGGAAACAGCTCCACCATCTCGATAAGTGATAAATATGATCCTACTTATATAGAAACAGCAATGCAAATTTATATATACATAGGTGCTTACTTGTGTATATGTAAATAAATTATAAAAGTTGTGGAAACATATATGGCATCAATGATTACCTCAGAGAGGAAAGAGATTAGTGGGAGAAGCTATCAAGGGAGCAGACTATATTGTAATCTGTATTCTTGTGTATTTCTTTTATTCTATTTTTTTCATAACCTTAGATTATTTTTTAAAAATTTATTTATGCATGCAAGAACTGGGGTACAGGCCAGAGGTACTGGGGGTGAGAGGATTCACCAGAGACAGAGTGGGGAACAGAACAAGCAGATCATTGAAATACACTGCTGAGGGGAGCAGCAGGCAAGACAGGAGAAGTCTGCTTCACCATGTAGATTAGCTCCCTGGCTGGGGATGGAAATCAAAATCGTGTTGCAGTGGCTGGCGAAAGCTTGATGGTGCTGAGACTTTACCCCTTGCGCCACCAGGGAGGCCTGGTCATTTAAAGATCTTTATGCTTATTAGTTAATATTATTGTTCAAGAATTAGGTTAAAGTTCTAACTAAACTCATTTGTTGATCATTTTATAATACATGTAAGTCAAACCATTATGCTGTATACCTTGAATTTATACAGTCACTTACGTCATTTATATAGTCACTCAATAAAATAGGGGAAAATTGGAAATAAGCATGTTTTGGGCCTCCCCGATGGCGCAATGTGTTGAGTGCAGCGCTGTGAAGCTGTCTGCAGCCTCTGCAGCGCAGGTTCAATTCCTGGCCAGCCAGGGTGATTCCCATATGGCACGGCAGACCTCTCTTGTCACACCCGCTTCTCCCCTCAGTAGTGCTCTCAGTCTGTCTGCCTGTTCTGCTCCCCACTCTGTCTCTGGTGAATCCTCTCACCCTCACGCTCCTCTGGCTGTACCCCAGCTATTGTATAAATAAAAAAATAAATATTTTTTTAAAAAAAGAAGCATGTTAGAAAGTCTTAGTTAATTTTTAAATTTATAAACTCTTATAATTTTATTTATAGTACATTTGTTATTTTTGTTTCAAGCTGTTAAAAGTTAAGAATGTAAATGACAATACGAGTAAAATAATACTGTATTTACTAATTTAATTGTAATTTATTATTTTACTGTGTACTTACGAATGTAACTTTACTACTTTTTTTTTAAACTATATGCTCATTTCCAGGTGTTAGCATAGAAGTATTTGTGAAGTATAGTGCTTCTTGTGATTTTGAACTACATTTAATTCATCTTTGTATTTACAACATAGTGTCTTACAGCATTTGTTGAATTCATCTGCTATTCTCCAAAGGCTTAAGCTTTCACTTATTCTTTAGGTACTGGGTACAAGGTATGTTATTGGGATGTTGTGCTTCAGGTCCACTTAATGGACAGAGCTAGCAATATATGTATGTATATACAAATGTGTGTGTATATATAGTTGTGTATGTATATACATATATATTATTTGTGTGTATACATTTTAATCTATACTCTGTACCTATATATTAAAAGCTATAAATTTATGCTAATATTTCCAACTCCAATTCATATCACAGGGATCATTCTAGTTTTTACTCTTCCATGTTTGGAACTACTTATTATATCAGTGAGAAACTTCCTGAGATTATCAATAATGTATTAATTGATTAACCCTCCTGTATATCTTCAGTTCCCATTTCTACTCTCATTTCTCCCCCATGTGGATATCATCCTTATCCTACTTGCTGGGCCACCTCTGTAGGATACCTTCATATTCTGCTTGGACTCTAGCACCTGTACCAGAGTCCTTCTTCCCCCAACCTGAATTCCCAGTTTGACTCTTAACATTCTGTTCTGGACCACTGTGTCCTTCTATCCTCCTGCATCCCAGTTGCCTCCCTTGGTTTTAAGACTAAAATAGCCTAAATAGATATCTTTCAAGTTGTCTGTGTCCTAGAAAATATACTGATAGCCATTATATTTGTTTTTTTTTTTAAAGATTTATTTATTTATGCATACAAGAACTGGGGTATGGGCCAGAGTTATGGGTGGTGAGACGATCACCAGAGACAGAGTGAGGAGCAGAACAGGCAGATGTACTAAATTACACTGCTAAGGGGAGCAGCTGGTGAGACAGGAGAGGTCTGCGGCGCCATGTGTGTTAGCTCCATGGTGGGGGATTGAACTCATGCCGGCAATGGCAACAGCTTGATAGTGCTGAGACTTTAAACCCTGTGCCACTAGGAAGCCCACCATTATATTTGATTGTGGGAATTTCCATTTGCATCTTATATGTTGTGTTTGAAATGGGATTAACTGAAGCCCTTCTAATAGTTTTTCTCTATGGGATGATTACTCTTCATGGCTGATTGTGTTATTAAGAGTTGTCACTTAGGGCCTCCCCTGGTGGCACAGTGGTTGAGTGCTGGGCTGCGAGGCTGCCCGTGGCCTCTGCAGCGCCTGTTCGATCCCAGGCCACTGGTGAGGGTTCCACATGGTGCGCAGACCTCTCCTACTGCGCCCACTGCTCCCCTCAGCAGTGTACTTCGTCAGTCTGCCTGTTCTGTTCCTCGCTCTGGCTCTGGTGAATTCTCTCACCCTCCTGCGCTTCTAACTGTACCCAGTGCTTGTATAAATAAATAAATAAATAAATAAATATTGCTTTAAAAAAAAAGAGTTGTCACTTAGTTAACAAAATCATGAGCTTAAGCAAGATGTTTTGAAATTGGGGTTTTAAAAAATTGTCTTACATAAATTTTACCTGTGCAGAAGCACTAATTTGGACAAGTTATGGGAGAAAAAGCAACATTTCTAAAGTTGAGGATAAAAAATGAAGTCTGAGTATTTACTTCTCATTTGACAATAATTTCAAACTGACAGAAAAGTTGCAAGAATAAAAATAGTACAAAGAACACCCATTGTACCTTTTGTCCAGATTGATCTGTATGAATATTTTATTTGCTTTAAATTGCTCTCTCTCTCACACACACGCACACACACACACAGTGACACACATACACATTTTTTTCTCGGAATTATTTGTGAATAAATTGCAGATAAGTTACTGCTAAATGTTTTGTTTATCTCCTTAGAGTAAAGGTATTTTCTTAATAATCACAGTATAGTTGTGAACTTAAGTGTGTATAACATTGATACCATACTTTATTCTTTAATTAAAATTTTATCAGTTGACATTGTTTCACCTATGGCGTTTCCCTCCAGTATACTCTAGGATTATCAGTGCATTTAGTTGGCATGTCTCTTTAATCTCTGAGCTGGAATATTTCCATAGACTTTCTTTTCTTTTAAGACATTTTCATTTTTTCCAAGTTTGCAATTCTCCCTTCTCTTTTTCTTTTTAAAAAACACCTTATTTTTTTGGGTCTCCCCTGGTGGCGCAGACGGTTGATCGCAGCTCTGTGGAGCTGTCTGCAGCCTCTGCAGCACCGGTTCCATCCTGGCCCACCAGTGAGGGTCCCACATGGCGTGGCAGACCTCTCCTGTCTCACCCACTCCTCCCCTCAGCAGTGCATTTCGTCAGTCTGCCTGTTCTGTTCCCCGTTCTGTCTCTGGTGAATCCTCTCTCCCACCCGCGAATCTGGCCTGTACCCCGGTTCTTTATATAAATAAATAAATAAATCTTTAAAAAAAAACGACTTTATTTTTAAGAGCTATTTAACTTTACAGCAAAACTGAATGGAAAGTGCAGGTGCTCCTATATATTCCCTCCTCACATACACATGCCTCTGCCACCATCAATAACCCACACCAGTGTAATACATTTACTGAATCATTTAACCAACATTCACGCATCATTATCAAAGAAAGCCCACAGTTTACATTATACTGTTTATGTTGTATAGTATAAGTTTTTACCCCCACTTTTTTTTTTAGATTCCAACCCATTTATTAATAAATGATCTATTTTTTTAAAATATTTTATATAATTCTTACATCATTTTTCATCTTTGTACAATGTATGCATTTTCATTTTGGTTATATTCCCCATACAGTTGCACCCCCTTATTTTGACTCTAGTTCTTCCTCTCTCCGCCCCTCTCTAATCTAAGCCCCTTTGTTTTTTTAAGATTGAACATTTTTCATTTTAGTTATGTGTTATGTTTCTGTGTTATTTTATTCAGGTTATACATACCTGGCCAGAATAGTGTATAAATGGAGTGTCCTGGGCATTGCATCCAAGTATTATTCAATATCCATAGGCTCTTCCTTACTAATGTTAATTTTGATGAGCCAGTCAAGATATTTTCCATTGTCTTCATAATAGAGTTGCTGTTATTTCTATTGCACTAATGAGCAATATGTAGTGACCAATAATTTAATGCCAAGTAGGTATCTTGCTTATAAAAATTTCTTCCCTAGATTTAATATCCAATGTTAATTCCCACTTGAATTACTCCTTACTTTGTTGTTGAAAAATGGTGATGATGTTTCTTTCTACGTTTACTACTCACTATTTGGTGTTCTACTCTAAGCGAGAGCTTTCCTTCCCCTTCTCCACTTATTTAGTATCAGTATGAACTCAAGGATTCTTGTTTTTTTGTTTATTATTGTGCTAATTATTTTGGTCCTTAAATTTTCCTGAATTTGGCCAGTGGCATCCTTTAAATAATTTTTTAAAATTAGTGGCCAATAGTAGATGCCATTTTGGTTGGACTTGGGGCCTTTAGGTAGAACCAGACTGTTAGTTTAAGAATATGTTTCAGGGCCTCCCCGGTGGCGCAGTGGTTGAGCTCTGGGTTGCGAAGCTGCCCACAGCCTCTGCAGGCCGGTTCGATCCCTGACTGCTCCCCGGCTACCGGAGGAGGGTCCCACATGGCGCGCAGACCTCTCCTGCCACCCGCTGCTCCCCTCAGCAATGTACTTTGGTCCTTCTGCCTGCTCTGCTCCCCGCTGTGGCTCTGGTGAATTTTCTTACCCTCCTGTGCTTCTGACTGTACCCAGTGCTTGTATAAATAAATAAATAAATCTTTAAAAAAAAAAAAAAAAGAATATGTTTCAGTGGGCCTCCCTGGTGGCGCAAAGGGTTAAGACGCAACCTCTGAAGCTGTCCACAGCCTCTGTAGCACGAGCATGAGTTCGATCCCCCGGCCGGCCAGGGAGCAACCCACATGGCACAGCAGACCTCTCCTGACTCACCTGCTGCTCCCCTCAGCCGTGTACTTTGGTCAGTCTGCCTGTTCTGTTCCCCACTCTGTCTCTGGTGAATCCTCTCACCCCCCTCCTCCACCCCTCCGGCCTGTACCCTGGCTCTTGTATGCATAAATAAATAAATCTTTAAAAAAAAAAAAAAAAAAAATATGTTTCCGGGGCCTCCCTGGTGGCGCAAGGGGTTAAGCACAGTACTGAGAAGCTATCCACAGCCTCTGCAGCATATTTGATCTTTGGCCAGCCAGGGAACTACCCATATGGTGCAGCGGATCTCTCCTCTCTCGCCCACTGCTTCCCTCAGCAATGTATTTCAGTGAGTCTGACTGTTCTATTACCTACCTGTTTCTGGTGAATCCTCTCACCCCCCTTCCCCAGCACCTCTGGCCTGTACCCCAGTTCTTGTATGCATAAACAAATAAATCTTTTTTTAAAAAAGAATATGTTTCAGTATAAATTGAGTAAAGACCTATGTGCTGATTTTGTCTTACAGTCTGGAGAAAAGAAAAAGGATGATGAAACAGTTGATAGTCTAGGTATGACTTCTTTTTCCTTACCTTTTGGACTGAAGCAGGGGCTGCAAATTTAAATGCCTTCAGGCACCAAGCAGGTAATATAAATATATGAAATGGACTGAGAAGGACTTTTGCAAATGGGAGTGCACAGTTGGACAGTTGTTATCCAGCTTCAGCTGAGGGCTGCCTTGTGGGAATGTGGGACTGGTGTTCTTAGGGCTTTCTTCCCTTGCCCTGCAACTTCAAAGTGAAAATTCAGATTTTTAACATTGATAACTAATTCAAACTAAACAAAAACCTGTATGGGTCTAACAAAATAAGACTGCCGATCAGTTATCAGTTGTGGTTTCTGGGGTAAAGTAAACAGGTTATGTAAGATATCACTGACTACTTGTGAATGTCTGCTGGAAGTTCAGGTATAACTGTGGTTGATGCCACAGGAAATATCTAGGTCTCTGAAAAGAAACCTTCCTTTAATTCAGAGTGTTTCTTTCCTAGGTCCTCTGGAGAAAGGACAAGTTAAAAATGAGGCTCTTAGAGAATTGAGAGTGGAGCTCAGTAAGAAACACCAGGCTCGGGAACTTGATGGATTTGGCCTTTATCTGTAAGTAGTTGTTTCAGTCATTTGGAACTTTTTCTAAAGTAGTATCCTGAGTAGAAGAAAGATGCTATAAAGCATTAACTTGTCCTGTGATTGTTTCCTTCTTTCCTAGGTATGGTGTGGTACTTCGCAAACTGGACTTGGTGAAAGAGGCCATTGATGTGTTTGTAGAAGCTACTCATGTTTTGCCTTTGCATTGGGGAGCCTGGCTGGAGCTCTGTAACTTGATCACAGATAAAGAAATGGTAAATTGAGATGTGAAAAACCCTCTGCTCCAAGTCTTGTAATTCCATGTTAATGGGGTAGGGCAAGAGAGTTTTGCTAAAACTTTTAGTTATGGGAGCTCTTTGCTCCTTTTCAAATTGATTTCACTTTGGGGAGGTCATCATTTGAAAGAGCAGTTTCTCCCTCCTGTTCAGTAGCTGTTGGATTTGTATCTTATTGTATTAAAATAGCTTTTCACATTACTATTTTTCACATTCATGTTGGATTGTAACTTGTTTATGGACTAAATGCTGTTTCTTTTAATTCCAAAGATGGAATTACAAGGTCTCTCTGGCATCAAAGATTATATTGAAAATATTTTTAAAATGTCATTTGAGCTGTCATAGAACTCTATAAAAACTTGGAGATTTATTAATTAATGAAATAATGTATTTGAAATTGCTATATTTATTGGTTCATTCATATTTTGTCGGTCAGTATTAGAGTATGTTTTTATAGATTCTATTTTGCTGTTCTTGAGTAATTAATGGAGGTGACAGAACATCTCTTTTTATTAACTCTAATGAGCCAAAGATCAGTTGATTTCTTAAATCTGTGTCTGACATCTTATCTTGGTTTACTTGTATTCACCTCACTGTAATTGCCTACTAGACTTTTAGTGGAAGTTTCTTTTATCTCTGAACTCAAAATATACAAAACCAAATTTCTTATCTTAAAATCTTTTTTTCTCTTAACCTGATAGACTCACCATTACTTTTTCTCAATACACCTCAGTCATACTTGTCTTTTCTCTTTCTTTTATCATCCTTTATCTAATCAGTCACCAGACATTGCCATGGTTACCTCCTCGTATGCATTCCTTCCTCCTAGTTATCGTCTCAAATTTGGATTAATTATACATAATAAATACTTTCTATCTTGCTTTCTCATGGTTATACTCCCATTTCCAAACCAAACTTCTTATGACATCCATATCATCATGTCATTATCTTGCCCACATTACTGTAGTTTCCTGTTGCATCCAATTTCTTGTTGTACCATAGGACCCACCCTACCAGTTGAGTCTTAATTTTCCATTACTTCTTAGCACATAGCCTCCCCTCAAACCAAGTTAATCTCTTCACAGTCGTCATACTGTTTTTCCTCCACTTATCATTGCCCTTGTATTTTTTTCTCTGCCTTGTCCATTTTTCTATTCAAATCCAACCCATCCTCTAAGACTCATCTCAAATCCTATCTGTTCATTGATGCCTTCCCCAGCTAGGCCATACCTCCCTATTATGCTTACAGTCCTATTCACTTCATTGAATTACCCTGTGTTCATGAGAGAGTGCTTGAATCAAATTTTGGTGATAAACTCCTTTAGATTAAGATAGTTCCATGATGTTCATTTGGGAAAGAGCTCAAAGTATTATTAAGTGTGTGTCTCTCTCTCCCGCTGCCAGCTAAAGTTCCTGTCTTTGCCAGACACCTGGATGAAAGAGTTTTTTCTGGCTCATATATATACAGAGTTGCAGTTGATAGAGGAGGCCCTGCAAAAGTATCAGAATCTTATTGATGTCGGCTTTTCTAAGAGCTCCTATATTGTTTCCCAAATTGCAGTTGCCTATCACAATATCAGAGGTGAGTGAATAAGGACAATGAAATCCCTTTAGATTCTAAGAGGTGTATTGTGTTGTTTTTTGAACTCTTTATCTTTTTTTTCTACAGATATTGACAAAGCCCTCTCTATTTTTAATGAGCTAAGGAAACAAGACCCATACAGGATTGAAAATATGGACACATTCTCCAACCTTCTTTATGTCAGAGTGAGCTACTTCCTTTGCTTGGACTTGATTAAGCTTTCTTGTGCTTTAATTTCCTGGGTTATTCGGTAGCTTAGGGGTTAAATCTTAGTGCTATTACTGTGACAGCCTGAGTTCAAATCCCCTTGCCAGGAAGCTAACCCACATAGTACAGCAGACCTCTCCTGGCTCGCCTGCTGCTCCCCTCAGCAGTGTTATTAGTAGATCTGCCTGTTCTGCTCCCCCACTCTGTCTCTGGTTAATCCTATCACCCCCTGCACCTCTGGCCTACACCCCAGTTCTGTGCAAAAATAAATAAAATTAAAAACTAATAATAATTTCCTGGGTTGCATTGTCACCCATTTGCATTAACTACAAGAAAAATAACTTCAAATGTTCCAATTTTTTATGCTTAGATTGTCTTTCTCTTTCCTTTCAGAGCATGAAATCTGAGTTGAGTTATCTGGCTCACAATCTCTGTGAAATTGATAAATATCGTGTAGAAACATGCTGTGTAATTGGTAAGAGTCACTACTTTTTTTTTTTATCTTTATTGGAAGTAATGTAACTATAACAACAATGTAAGTATCAAAGTTAGCAAAATTAACTATAGAATGTGAATGCTCATTGTAATCCTGCCTCCAAAATTTTTTGGAACTTGACTTCAGAATGTTTTTCTGTGTGATAAAATGTGTGTGTACATGTGAGTTTGCTTGCAGAAAAGCTATGGATCCATCCATTACTTGGATCAAAGGTGTGTAAGTTTTAAACTTTAATATCACTAAAAACTTTGTAAGAATTTCCAGTTCTGTGAAAAGAGGTGAGAATATCTGTTTCTCTGTATCAGGATTCTCATTATTGGCACTGTTGACATTTTGGGCTAGATAATTTTTTATGGGGGTCCTTTGTATTATAGGATGTCAGCAGTATCCCTGGATTTTACCCACTGTATGCCAGTAACAACCCCCACCTCACCCCAGCTATGTTTGTAGATGATAAAAATGTTTGTAGATACTGCCACATAACCTCTAAGCATCAGAATCATCCCTGGTTGAGAACCAGCACCTTATGTCCTTGGCCATACATGTGTGACTTGATAATTAGTTGACTGATGAATGGCTACTTTTAGATAAAATTAATTTAGTTGGTTGTGATTGAAAGCCTAGTAGATTCCCTGAAGGTGAAAGGATCTTCTTGGGACATTGGTGAAACTGCATTGAGATCATTTATATCTTTCTATGTCAGGATATTGTTTATAAACTGATAGAATTCTATTTTTTTTTTTTTTAAAGCTGATAGAATTTCAGTTCATCAGTCACTTAATAAATATCTCCAACCCTTCAGGAAGTTGTAGCCTAGTATGGGAAATAAGCATTAAAAAATAAAATAAAATAAAAAATCCTGTGGGAACATAGGTAAAAGTAGGAATAAATTACCTTTTCAATACCAGAGCATTATGGATAAAGTATAAAGCCCATTAAGGTGAGGGTGGAACTCCATTTTTTTCAGAAAAGATCTTTTGAGCATCTTTTTTTTTTCCATAGAAGAATTGGGGTGTAGGTTAGAGGTGGGGGGTGGTAGAGAGAGGATTGACCAGAGACAGAGTAGGGAGTAGAACATATACGTTTACTGAAACATACTGATAAGGGGGGCAGTGGGCAAGATGGGAGAGGTTTACTGTGCCATATGTGGGTTTGCTCCCTGTCCAGGGATCTAACTCAGGCCATAGTGGTGATTGCGCTGAGACTTAACCCCTAGGCAACGGGGGTGGGGGGGGTTGGGGGGGTGTTTGAGCATCTTCTGAGTGCTAGGCAGTGTGCTTTGTATTTCAGCATCTACTCTAATTTCCTATTGAGGAAGAAGAATGAGAAAACAACTGTAATACAGTGGGTTGAGTGTTGTGATTGTGGTAGATATAGGCTGCTAAGAGAGCACATAGGAAAGATAGCTAATCCAGTCTGAGATTAGGGAAGTATCACCTCAAAAGGTGATACTTGAAGGATGGGCAGTAATGAGAGCGTTTAATAAAGGAGAGTATTCACTTCGGAAGGGAATGGAAGTGTGAAATAACATTGTGCTTCGAGTTCAGTGTTGTGAAGCATGGTGTGGGAGAATGGACAAAATAGGGTCAAATCTTGAAGAACCTCTTTTGCTTTGCTAAAAGTTTGCATTTTTTTAGGCTTTTTCAAGATCAACATTAATAGAACTGCTTTGATCATTGTTGGAGAGAGATGCTTAGACCTCTACTTTTTTTAATCCCTTTAGGTACTTCCTTAGAAATCTAGGCTCTAAGTAAATAGTTGGAAAATCACCAATCTAAAATGTACTCTAGAAATGTCCTATCTTTATTACGAAATGTGTGTATGAATTCTGTATCCAAACGAAATAAGATAAAGAAAAAACATTTTTTCCCTTTAAACCAGACTCTGTCTTAGATGAAGTATATTTCCCAAGGGAATGAAGATATTCTTTTATGTACAGTTTGACTTTTCTGCAATGACTTGGGGGAAATGGATTATGGTTTCATGCCCACTCTGTGCAATGCTGCGGACTTTCATTTTTCCTTTCGAGTCATTCATATTTTCGGTTTGTTTTTCATTTAGGCAATTATTATAGTTTGCGTTCTCAGCATGAGAAAGCAGCTTTATATTTCCAGAGAGCCCTGAAATTGAATCCTCGATATCTTGGGGCCTGGACTCTGATGGGACATGAGTACATGGAAATGAAGAACACATCTGCTGCTATTCAGGCTTATAGGTGAGCTTCTAGTTTGGGGGTGAGGTGGAGCAGTCAGTGTTAGGATCTTCTGTTGAACCTGCATATCACTGACCTTGATTCTGTCCTCTTACCAGTCTCTCTTCCATTTCTTAGACATGCCATTGAGGTCAATAAGCGCGACTACAGAGCCTGGTATGGCCTTGGGCAAACGTATGAAATCCTTAAGATGCCATTTTATTGCCTTTATTATTATAGGCGGGCCCACCAGCTTCGGTAAGTCAGGACATTTGACAATGTGTTTGCTGTGGGATGAGCTATACTCTCTCTTTTGGTAGCTAAATCATAGCTTTTGGTAGCTAAAATCATAAATAGTTTTGACTCTGAGTTAAAACTTCTCACATGCTTTTTAGTCATTTTCGTGTAGTGTGTTCTAATGCATTAGTAGTATAATTGTGAAAACAAAATACTGTAATTATGTGAAGTAGTGAGTTCAAGGCCAGCTCTTGGGTAGATTTGAAATGGTGGTAGTGATGGTTCCTCTCTTGAGGACTTTATTTTTAAAGTCTACCTATTCCTTTTCTCCCTCAGGCCCAATGATTCTCGAATGCTTGTTGCTCTAGGGGAATGTTATGAGAAACTCAATCAATTAGTAGAAGCCAAAAAGGTACCTCAAATTGGGGATTTGAGTGGATATCTGCTGTTTGAGTTAACAGTTGGGCAATTTGTGCCCTAAATTTTCCTTCATTCTTATTTGTCTTCATAGGAAATTCTGAATATTTGTAGGTGCATGGGCTAAAAAAGCAATGCTGGGCTTCTATCATCAGTGGGAATGTCAGTATGTAGTCTGAACCTATCAAAACAAGTAAAATTGCCTTGCATTCTGCAAATTTGAACTTCTGGGAGGATTGCAGGTTGTGAGCCTTTATGTGATTGGTTATGGCACATGGGTTGATAGTCAAAGTGACCAGTTTATTTTTCTGACAGTGTTATTGGAGAGCTTACGCCGTGGGAGATGTGGAGAAAATGGCTCTGGTGAAACTGGCAAAGTGAGTCAAAGGAGTGAAACACTATTGATATTTTGTTGGCCTCTCTGATATGGCGGGCCCTGCATGCTCTAGACCTGTAGTCATCATCCCACGTGAATGTGGGCGTTTTCTAGGGTGTATGAATGAATATTGGTGGAAATGTAGCCATCTTGACTTAAGAGAATACCATTTTTCTTTGAAAAGGGGACTACTTTTCAGTTAGGCAAGGGATCAAGAATGAATTGAGGAAAGAAATGAAATAAAGTTTTAATGTCAGAACTGTGTAGGAAAACTACTTTGAGTACTGACCTCCTGATAAGGCCCAGGAAAATTAGGAATAACTCAGAAAATGTAGGCAAAAGGGTACTTGAATGTCATTTCATTCCTGAGTTTCTTTTCCATATTTTATGGATCCAAAATGTTTGGTATATTTTTATTATCTCACTCGGTGCTACCAGAATATTTCTGTCAAAGTATGTTATTGAGCTTAATTTACTATTTCTCCATCACCAGTGGTAGTGATTCTAAACTTTGATGAAGTAACCATCCATCTGGGCATTAATACTATTTTTTTTTAATTTTTTTTTTTTTAATAGAGGCATGTTTTATTTATTTGTTTGTTTGTTTGTTTGTTTTGTTTATACAAGCACTGGGTGCAGTCAGAAGTACGGGAGGGTAAGAGAATTCACCAGAGCCAGAGCGGGAGCAGAGCAGGCAGGAGGACCAAAGTACACTGCTGAGGGGAGCAGCGGGTGGCAGGAGAGGTCTGCGCACCATGTGGGACCCTCCTCTGGTGGCCAGGGAGCAGCTGGGGATCGAACCGGCGCCGCAGAGGTCGCCGGCAGCTTCGCAACCCAGCACTCAACCGCTGCGCCAGCGGGGAGGCCCAATACTATTTTTTTTTAAAGATTTATTTATTTATACAAGCACTGGGTACAGTCAGAAGCACGGGAGGGTGAGAGAATTCACCAGAGCCAGAGTGGGAAACAGAACAGGCAGAGTGACGAAATACACTGCTGAGGGGAGCAGCGGGCGTGGCAGGAGAAGTCTGTCGCACCATGTAGGACACTCGCCGGTGGCCAGGGATCGAACTGGCACTGCAGAGGCTGCGGGCAGCTTCGCAGCCCAGCGCTCCACCACTGCCACCAGGGGAGGCCCCATTAATACTATTTTGTGTCCTTCTGTGCCATATGTCAGAATTTCTACTTGTCCATATAGTTTCATTTTTTGCCTTAATCATGTGCTTCTACTTTTTATCAGTAGCTTGCTTTGTGAACTGATTTGTATTTAAAGATCATTTTCTTTTGTAGGCTTCATGAACAGTTGACTGAGTCAGAACAGGCTGCCCAGTGTTACATCAAATATATCCAAGATATCTATTCCTGTGGGGTATGTGTCTTAAATATTAGAGCTGAGATGCTGACCTTCTTATCACCTCAGTCATTCTTGTTTTCTCTATCTAGGAAATAGTGGAACACTTGGAGGAGAGCACTGCATTCCGCTACCTGGCGCAGTACTATTTTAAGTGCAAGCTGTGGGATGAAGCTTCAACTTGTGCTCAGAAGTGTTGTGCGTTCAACGATGTAAGTATCAGTTCGTTAATAAAGAGTTGGAATTTTAGGGTCAAATATATGAGCTTTCTCATGTTCTCAGGGTATGGAACTTATATACCAGCACACTATACCCTGTTTTTGAGAGCAGCCTTGGTCATGTTTTGAAACAGTTGCCTAACTTTGTTTCAGACCCGGGAAGAGGGTAAGGCTTTGCTCCGGCAAATCTTACAACTACGGAACCAAGGCGAGACTCCTTCTACCGAGATGCCTGCCCCCTTTTTCCTCCCTGCATCACTGTCTGCTAATAACACGCCCACACGCAGAGTTTCTCCACTCAACTTGTCTTCAGTCACACCATAGTTGGCTTTCAAGCCAGCACATTGCCAGACTCATAGTAAGCCTTAACTCCAGGTAAAGAATGGCCACATCTGGTCTTCCAAGGACCTTAGCTTTTTTTGTTAGTACAAATGGAAGCAGCTCCTCAGGAACAGTTTATAAGACTCACTTTAAGAGGCAGACTAACAGAAGAATCCTGGCAGGAACATTGTTTTTTCTTTGCCAGTTAGAAGCACTTCTCTGTTTTGCTTAGAGTGTCTGTAGATCTTGGCCTTCTTCCCAGACGTTTTTCTCCCCCTAAAACATCCCTTTAACAGCACTTTAGCACAGGCAATGCTATAAGAACAAAGTTTTAATGCTGCTGGGAGTACCAGAGCATTAGAGAGGCAAGGAAAGGAGTTAAGTCTGCCACCCTATCCTCTGGTGGCAGTAGGATCACTGCATACCCTAAGGTCAGGGCACTGGATAGGCATGACGTGATTTTGTTCTTGGACTTGCTGAGCATGATTATTATGATGTCAGAGATTGAGTTTAAATGGAGTGAAGCTCAACGTTTGTTATTCCTGGAGGGAGACATTTTTCCAAAACATGGTTTTGAGGAGGCTTCTAGCTTTGAAATTGGAATTATTAGAGTTAAATAAAAGAGGGGCAAGAAGAATCTAACTGAGCCTGGGACTGCAGATGGTCCTTTCTGAGGGTAAGAGACATTTATAGTTAACTTTATCCCTACAAAAGCGAAGCAAGGAGATAGGATTACAGGTAATTTCATGGACATTTGGAATAACTCTGTGAACAATAAACTCACTTCAAGCTGGCCTGTTGTAAATATTTTTGATATAATTTCTTTTTTCCCCTTCCATCTCCAACAATGTTTTTGTCAGTCTTCATCTCATTAAACAAGGTTAAAGGAATCATTTCTGCTGTGCTCTTGGAAGGCTGAGGCCTATGCATGTGTATTTAGTAGGAGGTAATATGTTACGACTATGTAATAGCTGCTGTAATTAATTTATACAGTAGATGCTATGGATTATTCTGAGTTCAGGGCTCAGCCTTTTATATTAAGGAAGATTTAGAATATATAACATCCCTAGAATTAATTTCTTACCAAGCTTTCTTAAATTAGCTGTACACTAGTTACTGGTCTCTACTGCCATTCCTGTATAAGATTTCTTATCCTTTTATAATTTTTACTTTAATGATATTGCTGAATTTGGAATTCAAATAAAAAATGTGAATAATATCTTTAATATAATTTTTTGTGTGCATATACATAAAAAAGCATGAGATTACATAGGTGATTATATATTACAAGAGGGGAAAAACAATGTCTTGAGTATTGCATTCTGGACAGAGTTTGAGGTATATGGTAAAGCTTGAAAGAGACCTGTTTAAGCTGAGCAGCTTTCCCACCTCAAGAACAACGAGTACTCTCCTAGCCCACAGTCTTAGTACTTTTTGCCAAAAGGCCCAGATTTTAGTAAAGGGGAGCATCGTGAGCGCAGGATCCGGGCATAAGGACTGCAGTCGGTTGAGCGTTGGCAGGTGGGTGTTCGAGGAAGTAAGTTTCGAAGAAATGGTTTCTTCCCCGGGGGCTGCTGGCTTGGTTGCTGATTTTCCTGATTGGCTCCAAGGCGCTTTTTGGTAGAAGAAGCCTGGCCTTGGAGTTTTAGCATGGTATACTGCTCCGCGATGCAGGCTGCCTTCTTCCGAAAGTCCAGTTTTACTAGCATCATGTTATTCTGCAGCTCAGCCAGGGTCTGATCCTAATAAGATAGGTAAATTTATAGAAAATAATCTGTGTCTGGTGCATTAAAGAAACAAGAGGAGAAGGTAATACATATGTCCTTAACTACTGGCTACTAACAACTGTGTCTACAAAGGTTTTTTTTGTTTTTTTTTTTTAAATCAGAACTTAAATGAATAGGGGCTATTTTCTTTAAGAATCTAAAGAAAAGGCATTCATTAGGAGGATATTTTCTAACACTGAAGGTGAATGGTATGAGCTTGAATAAGTTTACTTAACTTTCAAGAGCCTTAGTTCCTAGGTATCAAATGCTGTGTCTAGTCTAAGATGTACATTAAAATTTTTTTTATCATCTCTAATCAGGAAGCATGTTAGTGATGACAAATGTTATAGCTTAGTTGTGTTTTGTTTTAGTGATACATACAATATCGGTTTCCTATAGTACAAGCATTTTAGATGAAATGTGATATAATCTACCTCTCTAGGATTGTTGTAATAAAAAATGCCTATAGGGCCTCCCCAGTGGCGCAGCAGTTGAGCGCTGGGTTGCAAGGTTCGATCCCCAGCTGCTCCCTGGCCACCAGAGGAGGGTCCCACATGGTGCGCAGACCTCTCCTGCCGCCCGCTGCTCCCCTCAGCAGTGTACTTCGGTCCTTCTGCCTGCTCTGCTCCCTGCTCTGGCTCTGGTGAATTCTCTCACCCTCCCGTGCCTCTGACTGTACCCAGTGCTTGTATGTATAAATAAATAAATAAACAAACAAACAAACAAATAAAAACATTGCTCCTTCTAAGACAGCCATGCTTTCCAAAAGGGGGGGAAAAAATGCCTATAGACTAGCACAATACCTTGTGCTTAATGAATGGTTAATTTTATAGGAAGAAAAACTCCCCTCACTGTGTGATCATCCTAAAAATCTGCTTCTCATTCTCCTCACATATACTCTGGAGTGGACAGATGAGAGAGAAGGGGATAAAAGGCTGCCCTAACCTGCTTGATTAAGATGTCATCACAGGTGGTCAGGGCTTGGCGAAGTTTTCCTGCTCCAGTGCTGTGGCAACAGGCTCTTTCTGCTGACTGAAGAGACTCACCAAGTTTCTGAAGCTCTGTCCTCAGCAGCCTTATATTCTGAAAAAGGAGGGGTAGGAACCAGACTATGGCCAAGAAACCAGGATAATGATTTGGAGGAGTCAGATGACCATTTTAAGAGAAGAAAAAATTACAAGGCTAGATAGCTGATTGAAGTAGCCGCTTTCCAGGAATGTGAACAAAATAACATCTTGTACTCATATGAACCAGGGATTGAGTGTTGGGAACTGCCTGAGGTAAGAGCTTTGGTAACAGAAAGGGACTTACCTTCTGGCCCTCCTCTAACTTCTTGTCCACATCAATGGTGAAGGGCTTGGCTGAGGGTGGTGGTTCTAACATTTTCTGATACTTCTGCAGCTCTGAGGGAAAAAAAGAGAACTTTAATATGTAGGTGTTCTAGCCTTGGACTTGCCTCTTTAGGTAACAGTAGCTTGAGCAAATATTAAAAGTGAGGCCACATGTATCCTAGAGTGAAAAGTTGAGGATGTAGCTCTCAGTTAAAGAAATTATGTTGGAGCTAGTGTTTGAAGAGCAGCTGTTCCCTGAACCGTTGTTATGGTCCCTGCCTTCTCTCCTTCCATACCTTCCTTGGTAGAGTTTAGCTCTGCTCTGCACTGATCCAGTTTAGCTTTAACTTCCTGAAGCTGCTGGCTGGAGGAAGAAGCCATCAATCTCTGTGACCGTCGTAGGGTCAATTCGGACTCTGATTGTTGATGGGCCATTGGCTGCTGTTTGGCTTCCTGCAAGACAGCTTCTAGCTCTTCAATCTTTTCATCCCGCTCCTAAGAGGGAAGTAGAAAGCACAATTCTGTCCACAGTCCAACACATACTGCAGTAATAATTGAACAAATGAACAAAGCCTTCCCTTATACTCATGCCTTAAAAGCCTGTTTGTTAGCACTTTTACCATTTCCTAGCTAACCAAACCCTTAATTCACTAAACATAGATGACACATGTACACTAAGGAGATCAGAGAAAAGTGAGTTATATATTCCTGGCGCTACTAGTTTATAAAATCTATTTACTTCAGGTAAAATCTATTTACCTCAGATGGGGGTCTGAGCAGGTAGGTGGGGTTGGTTCAGGGCAACTCACCTGCAGCTCTTCTTGGTAAAAACTTGTCAGTGACTCCTTGAGGATCTTTAATTTCTCTTCATACTTTTCTTCTAATAGTTCCTTTTGGGTGTCCAAATGTTCGCTGTCAGAAAGTAGAAAAGAGAAAAAAAGATTATAAGGAGTGACTGTGGAGGATAGGTAGTTCTTGAGGTCCAACTCCACCCTAGTCCCTACTTCCCATCTGTTGATCCAGATGACAGACCAAGAGAGGTCACTTGGCTGGTACCTGCACCACTGTTCTCGTTGTCGCATCTGTTCCACCATCTCATTGCAAATTTCATCACGGAGCTGCATCTCCAACTGTAACTTTTCCTGCCGTTCTTTCAAAAGCAGTGCTTTCATGGCATCCACCACCTGTAGGAGCTCCTAGTTGGGACACATGAATCAGAGGCATCAGATGCCCATGCCCCAAATAGGCACAGATCCTTCTGGAATGCAGAATGAAAAATGTGAGCCATCAAGCTGATGCACTAAAGCTCTTGCATTCTTACCTCCTTGCCATACATAGAGATGTCAACTTCATTTTCAATGTCTTCATCAAGCCCCGGGTTTAACTTAGCACTTGTCTCTAAGCTGGGAGATGCCCTCAAGCTGTGTTCTTTGATGAATGAGTGCAATAATGGGAATCCCAGTTGAACTGGTGGAGCATGCACAAGCTAGTGGGGGAAAAAATTTGAATTCATAACTAGTACCTAATAACTTCTTTAAATGAAAGTACCAGCTCAAAGTGAGCAAATCATCTACCTACAACTTCTTACCTGGCTGGCAAGAGCTGAGAACTTGGCCACATGAAGGGTCTCATCATAGGCAGATGCACAGGGATGCACATTGACAATCATGCAGGAGCGACCTCGACCTGTGAAGAAGCCTTGGAAAACTCGAGTCAACTTGCTGTCGCGGAAGGGAATCAGGTTCTGCTTTGACCTGGCAAGGAACCAGAGAGAAAAGATCTGTGAACAGAACTCCATCCTTGGGTGTATCCTAGTGGTGACCAAGATGCTTCAGCAAATTGCAGAGGTCTGCAAATTGCAGACCACTGGACCACAGCTTGTAGTAAAAAGTTTACCGGTTCTGCTGGTTTTGGCGCAGGGCAGCAATACAGCGGCCCAGAGTGTGCAGAGAAGTGTTAATGTTTCCTGCTTCCTTCAGCCGCTCACCACTCTTTTGATCTTTGCAGCGCTCTGAACCAGCCAGATCACAGAGTGACAACCTAGAAAGATGCCAGGCAGAATCTGACATGAGGATTGTATGTTAGGAGCCTTCCAGTTCTTCATATATAGTTCTGGGCAGGAGAGAACCCACCAAGAATCTCTATCCAAGGAAGGGCAACAAGAATCTAACATAACAGATAATTCTTCTGAGGACCTCCTTCTCCCTCCCACTATCCTTTATGGCCAAGAAGCCCAGATCTCTAAATGGAAAAACTTACTCGCTGATCTTGGGGACTATATCCCCTTCCCCCTGAAGATGTAGGATCCGGATTGAGAAGATGCTATGACTGATAGTTAAGAAAAAGAAATGTCAGTGCACAGCTTACATGACCAGGTGGGAGACTATTATTTTTCAGGAACACAGCAAGAAAGGTTTACTGTTGCAACCCATTCACCTGCGGCTAGAGTTCTGGTTCAGGTGGGTGCTGGCAAAGCTCTGGTTTTTACGGCCCACTTTCAGGAGTTTCCAGGCCTCCTCAGCATCCTGAACATGAATCCAGTTGAGATCTGAGGCCAAGGAGAGAGGGGCATACATAAGATAGGAACACCTTATCTCTTTCCAAGTTCCCTCCAGGGTTCAAGGCAGCCTCCTTGTGCTGCTCCATACCTTTCACATAGGGATTGCCATTCTGGTCCTCACATAGTCGAAGAGTCTGCCTCTTGCGTTGCTGGCTAGGCGGTTCTAACAGGTCATAAAGTAGTTCATTGTAGATCTCAAAGTAAGAAACCCAGATGGAGAAGCGAATATCTGTAGGGACACTTATGGGAGCAGTATCTGGCTGTGCCCATCGGTGACTTGTTTCTGGGGAAAAAGCCAAGGTACAGGGTATCAACCTTAGGGTACTCCATCTCCCCCTTGGTCCATGGAGGCCTCAAAAAGTGGAGGTCAGGTTGTAATCCTGACAGCTTTTAGAGGAAGGGGCAGGAATTTACCTAGGACAAAGCCCAGTCATGATACATACCATCCAACTGAATACTGTTGGTAAAATGACTGGTGGAGGAGATCCCCGCAATACCACTGTCAAAACTGGTGCTAGTACCCGGCCGACTTTCAATGTAAACGCTCTTCTTCAAGGAGGTGGACAGCTCCTCCTGGAGGGACCAAGGGAGATGATAAGCACAAAACTTTGTGGAGATTTGCCCCTCTACCCTCACCCCCAAGGAAAGCAACTTTACCTCTTGGAGGCCTCCATTTAGCAGGGCTAATTTCTTCATTTCTTCCTGCCGGATTTGTTTATTGTCTAGCCAGATTACCTCATTGAAGAGCAAGGGCTTCAGATCAGGTGTTGGATGAAGCTGGCCTTGGAGGCTATTGAAAATCAGAGCCAAAGACCTTGGCAGGATGCCTCCATCCTTGATGGTACCTGGAGACATGTGAAAGACAATTGAGGCAAAGCTCTTTCTCCCCTAACTGGCAGCATCAAAAGATAATAGATCACACATTACAGGACAATCAACAATTTTGTGAGATTTACTACTTACCTTGAATTGTGTGGGTTTTCCCTGAATTGGTGACTCCATATGTATAGATGAGCCAGTTCTGCCCTTTGAGTACCTCCTTCACCATCTCTTTTACAGTCAGGTTGAAGAAGGATGCCTGTCCCACTTCTGGTCCAAATAGCTAGACACAGATCAAGTTTCTGAGAGTCCCATCTTTTCTCTTTCACTCCATATCTGTGCAGAGCCAGCAGATGCATCCCTTCCTGGATGGTTGGCTCTGGAGATGACTTAAGCCACTACTTCCCACTGTCGTACCAGTTGCTCCCAAAATACCAAGGACTCAACCACTCTGCCCGCTCTTTTATCTAAATCAGTAAATAGGAATGTTATCTACTAAGTCTTATGCTGCATACACTATGGGACAACTTAATGGTCTCAAAAGTGGGTTTTAGAGATGGATGGTTCAAACAAATCCTAACTCTACTACTGATAACTTACATTGCTTCAGCAACATTATTTTTACTGAACCACAGTATCTTTGTCGGGACAATAACAATAATGGTACTACAACTGTTAGGAATTAATGTACATGAAATACTTGACACTGTTTAGCACATGAAAAGGGTCCTCAAAATTGTAGACAAGCATCTTAAGGGACTCAGAGTAAAAAAGCTTCCTTCTAGGGCCCTCCCTGGTGGCACAAGGGGTTAAGTCTCAGCACTCGGAAGCTGTCGGCAGCCACTGCAGCATGAGTTTGATCCCCGGCTAGGGAGCTGACCCACATAGTGCAGCAGACCTCTCCTGTCTCGCCCGCTGCTCCCCCCAGCAGAGTATTTCAGTAAATTGAGCTGTTTGGCTCCCACTCTGTCTCTGGTGAATCCTTTCACTCCCCTCCCCTAAACCTCTGGCCCACACCCCCAGTTCTTCTATGCATAAATTAAAAAAAAAACCAAAAAACGCTTCCTTCTAAAGAGGGAGTAAGTTGCCTCTATATTTTGCCCCTTTTCCATAGCTCAGCACCTCAATACCTGGGAAAAGGTGAATCTGTGGGTGGCTTGTCCAATTCCCCGCTCATTGCTCCTCTGCGCAAAGGAGTCTTTAGGTGCCCGTAGAATAAGAGTCTCCACATTCTCAATATGGACACAACCCTGAGAATGGGAACGACACAATTTTTACAGAAGTGAACATTTCTGGGAACATTTTCTGCACTGCATCTTTCCACCTTGAATTCTCTCCCCTCAGATGCTTACCTGATCCTCCTGCCGTTCCAATTCTGAAGGTAACAAAGGTCTGACTCTCAGGTATACTTTCACTTTCTCCGTACTATCCTCAGATGGAACCTGTTGCAGAATTCCAACCAGAACCACAGATTAGTCTTAGCAGTTATCTCTAAGCAGATGGGCAAACAAAGCACAATTTCTGGGAATCGTGCTAACATTATACCCATTCTGCTTAAAATGTCTTTGTCTAGCTAGTCTTTGGTTCCATGAATATTCCAACTTTTCTACTACTTTACCAATCTTCCCTGTCTTTCAGTATTATGCGAACCTGGCTTGCCACAACATATCTAAGAGCTGGTTGACTGGTATAAAAATCAGCATGTGATATTATGTAGTAGTTCAGCATCAGGGAGGCAGACACAGCTAAATTCCACTCCCAATTCCATCATTTAATAACTATGAGACCATGAATAAGTTCTTTAATTTTTGCTGCCTTACTTTCTTCCTCTCTACAGTGGGGTTAATAATAGCATCCACCTCATTCATTCAACAGATATTTAGAATGTCTACTCTAATTTTTTATGACCCAGGAATTTCAAAGGGGCTCCAGTAGTTCACAGTGAAAGACATTGTCAAGGCTCCTGCTGTTAAGAAACTTTGTAAAACAGAATTCTAAGTCTCCCAAGGGACATTTAGCTAAGTCCAGTAGAGGTTTCTTGGGAAGTGCTACTCACTCTCAGTAGAGAACAGGGATCCTGATAAACATGTTAAGATGCAGAGGGCGGCCCTCTGTAACAAAGAACTATTTGACCCCCAAATGTTAATAGTACTGTAGCTGAGCAGCTCCAGCCTACAGAAAGAAAGGCTCCATAAATGGAAGCGATGGTTGATATTACAACCTGAATGTACATTCTACCTAGTTAATGGCAGTACAATCTTGTGCGCATTATTTAACAGCTGATTCTCATGGTTAAGCAGAAATAACGATAATCCTTCCCTCAGGATTAACTGAGAGTATGCACTTGAGAGTATTTTAATAAGGGAATGTAAATACTAGTTCTCATGGACAAGTAGTTCTGCATTTTTCACTGTCATGCTCTCAATTTTTTTTTAATAACATCTTATTAATACAGTATTTATTTGTCTTCCCTATCAAACCCTGAGTCAACCACTTTCCCCAGGCTGCCTGAGTCAACCACTTTCCCCAGGCTGCCTGGGGAAGTACATGAAAAGGTACAGGGCAGACAAGACATGAGAGAGAGAACTGTGGTTAAGTGGAGATGGCGAAGAATGAGAAAGGCAACCACTAGGCAAAGGAGTCCCATGGCCTGTGAGAGGGCAAAGCCCAAGATGGTGTAGAAGAGCTGTTGCTTCAGAGAAGGGTTCCTGGCATAATCAATGATGAGGCTGCCAAACATTCCAAATTCTAGCCCCAGGGCCAGCCACCCCTACCATGGCAGCCCCAGCCCCTATGAACTTGGCCTGAAACAGAGCTGGTTTGGAAGCTGCAGTTAGGAATAAATGCTAAGTAGCCGGGGCTCTCATCTGTCAGTGTGTCTGTTTCAGCAGTGAGGTGCTCCAGACAAAGGAGGGGGTGGAGAGGAACTTGGCACAGGCATACATTTTTTGGGGATGAGGGGATGTAGCAGGAGAGTTGTTCCCAGTGCAAAGAAGACAGAGAGGGGCCTCAAATTTGATGTCTCAGACCCTTAAGAATGCTGGTTTTTACAAATAATATTATTCACATGTGCAACATAATGAAACAGAAAAGGAACAGACAAAACTAATACAAACCTTTGGAATAAGACTGCAGCATTGAGGTTACCAGAGAGGAAGGAGTGGGCAAGCAAAGGCTGAATGAAGGGTTATTGGTACTTGGGTGGTGGCCTAACCATGAGGCCCAGATGTTAACTAATTTGCACAAGGTCGTACTGCCATTAAGTTCAATGGAAATTCGGGTTGTAATATCAACTATGGCTTGCATGTCTATCGTGAGGGGAAAAGATACTGGTCTTTGAGCTCATATTAACCAGTATTTACAACTGCTAGGCTGAACAGAAAGATGGTCTCGCTCCTTTACCTGCTGCTTGTCTTCCAGGGAGGTGGAGATGACAGAGCAATCTGATAGTAGGTCCTTGCGTACCACAGACCCCAAATCTGCAGCGGTGGACTCAAACATGGGGGAGGCTACGACCTCCTCATCGGACAAGAAACCGGCTGGCGGAGAAAGGATCCCTTGCGACATGACAGCAGGGATTGTTTCAGTCTAAAACGAGACAAGAATGGACAGGGAGAACCTTAGGGAACAGAAGGAACTGCAAATTTCAGGAAGAAAACAGTTTCCTTGCCCGAGAACACCTCGATCTGCCTGGATTTCTACTCCCCTTTCTTCTCAACTACCAGCAGAGGGGAGGGAATTAATCGTTTGAACCTGCCTGAGGCGGTATTTGCGGCCGCGAACAAGAAAGAACAGATACTCGGTTCCAGAAGGCGGCCACGCTCGGACTTGAGTGCCTCGCCCAAGGGTGCGGCGAAGGTGGTGTCAGGCGCTCTAGGTTCCTGCTCCCAGCTCGCCGCCAGCCCCACCACAAGGAGAGCGGTACGAAGGGGGGAAGGACACTGCGAGCTACGCTTTTTGAAAGCCTATTTCGCGAGGGGAAGAGCTGGTGCCCCGCGCTACCGGTCAGCCGCACTCACCCAAAGACGCAATACTTGTTCTTCCTCCGGTACCGGCTCACTCACAATCGGCCGAAGAATCTGAACAGTCGAGGGGAGAGAACACAACTCCACCCTTGAGGGGCAGCTTTGTTACCGATACAATGTTTTAAATTACGCGCTGCGTTCATTCAGCCAATCAGATCACGAAGCCCGCGGTGACCAATCAGCGCAAGGAAAGGGGGCGGGCCAGCCTGGGAAACGGTCTCCTTAGGCTTGACCTTTTCATTCTGAAGTGGATCCGGGTTACCAACTGTCGGCGTTCCGTGTTGGAGCATCTGGAATAGCCTCCCAGCTTAACACTTTTTCGAGAACCGTAGGTATTTCTTTTCGAGGACGTCTAAAGGGAGTCCTGAAGCTTCAGCGGCCGCCTTTCTTCTTTCTTTACCAACTTTTCTTCCGAGGAGCGCACCCAAGACCTGGTTTAGGGGGGGCTTAGTCCTCCCGTGAGGGAATAAAACTACATGTCCCAGGAGGCACCGCGAACAAACGCCGGCACTCTGTTTCCCAGAGTTCCTCGGGTTTCGGCCTTATCAGACAGTGTTTCCTCAGGAGTTCGCGATTTCGGGGCGAAGATGGCGACAGGAACGGGCAGTGAGTATTTGCTCCGCTTTTCCTTGGTAGGCCGTTCTAGAGCTGAGGCCAGGCACCAAATTTCTGTCGCACCTTGAAGGACTAAGAGTAAGGAATTGCACGAGAGCCCATGAGCTTTGGAGAGCTGTGTTTGGCGGCTTCGTGAAGTACAACGGTTGGGGGCCCCAGAAGTGTAGGGTTCTGAGTCTCAGGGAGGCCGCGGAGATTAGAAACAGCTCAGAGAACCTGTTTCTTCAGGTGCTCTGTGGGGTGAGATAACGAGCTACAGAAACGCAGTCGTGCAGACGAAGAGATGTGAGCCATACGGAGTGTCTGGCATCTCAAAGAGCCATTTATTTTCTGACCAATGTTTGCGAGGCCCGAACTCTTGTCTCACAACGGAGGAGGATATTTTAACAGCGAGCAATTTTTGCAGCTGGGGAAATTGAGTTTCGTGCAGCTTAGGTATTTCCCTCTGTTTCGTGAGGGGAAAAGGTATTTCCAGCTTAAAGGGTGGGGAGCGCAGGGTATCAGCGAGATGTAAACAAGTTTATGTTGAGGAGGCGGAGCAGTAGGAGGTGATGGCCCCTTGGAATCTTGGGAAATGAGCCCTTGCGTTCAAATTGGGATAAAATGTTCTTAGAACTGTGCTTTTCGGTAGAACTGCCTTATCGTAACCTGATATCCCCTCCCCCCCATTTTTTAAATAATACGTAGTAGTCATGGTGTTTGAAGGGGTAAAATGTTTTGCCAGATACTCATTTCTCATGCAGTGAGCAGATACCCTACCAGGGTGATATTACTGGAGAGATGAAGAATCAAGATTTGGTTATAATGGTTCACTTTGTCATTACCAGGTTTTATGTTTTGTTTTAGGTTTTTTAATCCTTGTTTTGGGGCTCAAAACGAGTTCCTCAGCGATTGCGAACTTTCTCTTTTCAGAACACAAACTACTAAGTACTGGCCCCACAGAGCCATGGTCTATCCGAGAGAAGCTGTGTTTAGCATCTTCTGTCATGAGGAGTGGAGATCAAAATTGGTAAGGTGTCTGGGATGTCTGCTTTCTTGGGATTAGAAGCTAGTGGGGATTTCTTCACACTGATGAATTCCTAGGGCTAATCATGCTAACATTCAAGGAACATGTCTTTCTTAAAACCTTATTGAAATATAATTCACATGTCATAAGTTTAACCCAAAATGTTCACAGAATTTAGTATAGTCACAGAGTTATACAATCTTAGCCACAATTAATTTTACGGCATTTTCATTGCTGGGAAAAGAAACCTATGACACCCTAGCAGTCCCTCAACTCTCTTCTCTCCCCTTAACACCACATACACGCACACATACACACACACAGGCAAACTCACTTACTTTGTATAGATTTGCCTCTTCTGGACATTTCATATCAATGGAGTCATATAATTTGTTGTCTTCTGTGACCAACAGCATAATGCTTTAAGGTTCTTCCTGTTGTAGTCTATAGCAATACTTTATTCCTTTTTGTTACTAAAGGCTGCATAGGTGGCTGTATAGGTATGCCACATTTTGTTTATCCTTCAGTTGAACATTCATGTGCAAAGTTTTGTGTGAACACAGAAGAGTGGAATTGCATATGTTAAATATATGCATAACTCTTTGAGAAACTGCCACACTATTTTCAAAAGAACCCCACTGTTTACATTTTCACCAGCAGTGAATGAGGGTCCCAATTCCTCTGTGTGATCTACGCTATTTTCTGTCTTTCTGCACATAGCCATGCCAGTGGTATGAAGTTGTGCATCACTATGGTTTTGATTTACATATCTGATGACTAATGATACCCAGCATCTTTTCATGTGTCTATGGGCAGTTTATAGGTTTTCTATGGAGAAATGTCTGTTCAGGTCATTTGCCCATTTTTCAATTGGGCTATCTTCTGTTTATTATTAGTTACCAACTCATTATGTATTCTGGACACATCTCTTGTCAGATTATTTGCAAATATTTCTCCTATTTTGTGTGTTGCGTTTTCACTTTCTAGGTTGGCATCATTTGCAGCACAAAGGTTTTAAAATTTGATATGTCCAGTTTATTTTTTTGTTGCTTGGGCTTTTCATGTCATAGTTAAGAAACCACTTACTGGGGCCTCTCTGGTGGCGCAAGAGGTAAAGACGCAGCACTTTCTGCAGCCACTGCAGCATGTGTTCGATTGCCAGCCAGGGAGGTGACCCACATGGCGCAGCAGACCTCTCCTGACTCACCCGCTGCTCTCCTCAGCAGTGTATTTCAGTCATTCTTCCTGTTCTGCTCCCTACTCTGTCTCTGGTGAATCCTCTCACCCTGCCCCCACACATCTGGCCTGTACCCCAGTTCTTGTATGCATAAATAAATAAATAAATAAATCTTTTTTAAAAAGAAAGAAACCACCTCTGTTTTCTCCTAAGAGTTCAGTAGTCTTAGTGCTTACACTTTTTTTTAAATGGTCCATTTTGAGTTAATTTTCATGTTTGTTGCAAGACAGGAAGGAGTCTCTTGTATGTGACTGTTCAACTACTCCAGGACCATTCTTTCCCTCTTGAATTATCTTGGCACTCACTATTTCTTTTTAAGTACCAGAAAGTAGAACTGTGGTTCCCAATCTTGTTTGCCACCCAGACATACCCTTTTTCATTTTTTTTATTTTTCTTTTTTTTTTTAAAGATTTATTTATTCATACAAGCACTGGGTACAGTCAGAAGCGCGGGAGGGTGAGAGAATTCACCAGAGCCAGAGCAGGGAGCAGAAGGACCAAAGTACACTGCTGAGGGGAGCAGCGGGTGGCAGGAGAGGTCTGCGCGCCATGTGGGACCCTCCTCCGGTGGCCGGGAGCAGCCGGGGATTGAACCAGCACTGCCAAGGCTGTAGGCAGCTTCACAACCTAGCGCTCAACTGCTGCGCCACCGGGGAGGCCCCCTGTTTTTTTTTTCTTTAAAAAAGATTGATTTAGGGCCTTCCCTGGTGGCGCAGCGGTTGAGCGCTGGGCTGTGAAGCTGCCCACAGCTTTTGCAGTGCCTGTTCAATCCCCAGCCACCGGCAAGGGTCCCACATGGCAAGACAGACCTCTCCTGCCGAGCCCACTGCTCCCCTCAACAGTGTACTTCGTCCATCTGCCTGTTCTATTCCCCTCTCTGGCTCTGGTGAATTCTCTCACCCTCCCGCACTTCTGACTGTACCTAGTGCTTGTATAAATAAATAAATCAATCTTTAAAAAAAAAAAAAGATTGATTTATTTATGTATACAAGAGTTGGGGTACAGGCTAGAGATGTGGGGGGTGAAAAGACTCACCAGAGACAGAGTGGGGAACAGAACAGGCAGACTGATAGAAATACACTGCTGAGGGGAGCAGCAGGCGAGACAGGAGAGGTCTGCTGTGCCATGTGCGTTGCTCCCTGGCCAGCTGGGGATCGAACTCGTGTTGCAGAGGCTGTGGATTGCTTCATAGTGCGCGGTGCTTAACCCTTTGCGCCACCAGGGAGGCCCCCTTTTTCATTTTTAAAAGACAGTTATTCCTCATTCTTTTTTTTTTATCTTTTTAAAGATTTATTATGCATACAAGAACTGGGGTGCAGGCCAGAGGGAACAGAACAGGCAGAGCGACTGAAATACACTGCTGAGGGGAGCAGTGGGCCAGGCAGGAAAGGTCTACTGTGCCATGTGGGTAACTCCCTGGCAGGAGATTGAACTCGTGCTCCAGTGGCTGCGGATAGCAACCCCTAAAACAAAGTGAAATACACTAATTAGATATTTCTTTCTGAACTAAATACAATTCAGATTTAAGCAACACAGATAAAGTGTTTTGAGTAGTTTCCAGTCTGTACTTTGTCTCAAATTTTTATTATAAAAACAGTGTAAGATCACTCAAGTAAACCTTTGAAATATAATTTGTATTTCTCTTTTGAGGAGGTACCAAGTCATAAGGGTCAAAATTCAAATAGTATAGTGTCTTCCATCACTGTATTTAATCCCCCATTGTTGTCATTTTCTTTTTTTTTTTTTTTTAAAGATTTAGTTTTATTTTTATACAAGAACCGGGGTACAGGCCAGATGTGCGGGAGAGTGAGGATTCACCCAAGACAGAGTGGGGAACAGAACAGGCAGACTGAGGAAATACACTGCTGAGGGGAGCAGCGGGTGGAACAGGAGAGGTCTGCCCCGCCATGTGGGTATCTCCGTGGTCAGTGGGGACTGAACCAGCACTGCAGAGGCTGTGGACAGCTTCACAGTGCTGCACTTAACTGCCTGCGCCACCAGGGAGGCCCTGTTATCATTTTCTTATATGTCTCTCCAGATTAATTTTGTTGTGTATATAGACATATACAGG